AAAATTTTGGGGTATTACATCCACCCCTCCTAAAAAGGAGTTTTGTCCCCAAAACTCAAATTGAGGACCATATCAAGTGGTGAGTGGCTTCACACAATCCGAGACAAAACAATGCCTCACTCACTTTCTAGGAACAGAACACGACCTATTACGCTTCCGCTGCGCCACTCTGATATGAATCACAACTACACATAACAGCAGGACACTAGCTACTTAACAGGGTTTACCATGAAATGAGCTACTAGAGGCTGGGGTAATACGGAAAGCACAAGGAATAGAAATAAATCCTGCCAAGGCCACAAAAGAAACAGTTGTGGGGTTACGCTTTGAACCCATCACAAGACGAGTTGGCAAGAATGGCATGGATTTAATGACGAGCACAACAAAACTTTGAACTCTTTTCAAAGACGGATAAGCATCCAATGAATATATGGATCATGAATGAATGAACAAATGCATGGATGCCTTACAATTTCTGCCACAACAAGGTTAACCAATAAGTAAGGTCATATTTAACCAAGCAATTGGAATCAAGAAACTGATTTTAGCAATTAACAAGAGTTAAAAGCTAGACCCATCAAAAGACGTATAAGGATCTCAAGAATTGCAACAGAATAAAATCAATGGAAAATATGAATGCTTGGAAGAATACTGGAACATAAGAGTGCAAGGTAGAATGCCTCAAAAATTTCAGCACAAAATGGCATTCACCGAGAATCAAAGATCAAATTTAACCAAGCAGTCAAAATTGAGAGACAAGAGTTAACCATGAAATAAGCAATAGAATTCAAGAATTAGACCCACAAAAGAAATTCCAATAATGACAATCAAAACACTGATTCAAGAACAGATATAACCAGGATGCCAAGATCTAGCACCTCAAGTACTAGAATTGATTAACAGAACAAAGCAATGGCTGGGATCAAGATGCCTAGAAGATTCATGTCTTCTAATTAAAAGGGCAAACAAGAATCCAAGCAGCCAGATCAAAGAACCATTTCACTTGGAATAAAACTCTAGGGCATCAAGTATTTCAAGGACTACCCCTTTACCTCGTAGCTCATGGAGGCGAGGCTAAGCAGATTTTCAATCAGGTCATCCTAGAGTCAAGTCAAAGCTAAGACATCCAGGATACAGAGATTAACACTTACAAGAGACAAGAATTAGGATGCCTCATATAGGTATTTTCTGATAATCGTCACCCCTCCTAAAGAGGTGTCCATATGAACAAAAATCAAAATCAAGAAGATCATCAGGTATACTGAAACAAGAACTAACAGAACATGCAAGATTTCAGCAAGAGCAGTATACAGAATTCGAAGAAAAGCAAGAGTCAAGACAAGAATGGTTTTCAAGGACAATTCAACTAGATTTCAAGAACAGTGCAAGAATCAATTTCGAACAAGTATCCAGATAATGAGGATTTCAATAATCATTATCCATTTCTGGATTTCAGTTTCAAGAACAAGTACAAAGCAATCTCAAGAAAGATTCAAGATGAATTTCAAGAGTTTCAAGCAGTTTCCAAGTATCAAGAATGTAGAGATTGGCAACAATAGAGAGTCTAATTTTATGATAACTTGCCAATCTTCACAAAAAGACAACAATTTCAATTGAATAATCACTGCTCTTGATTAACCAATACAGAAGAATAAGCCACATGAAAAGACCATGAAGCTCCAAATGGAAAAAGTGAAATTTCACTATAAGACTTTCAGAAAATAAGGAGCAACGGAATTACCAAGTTAATCCAGCTCCTAAAACGCAGCTAGAAAACACAAAACATTGGCTAAAATAGCCTGGAATCTCTTACAAGTAAAGGGTTTACCCATCCTCCACTGGTCATGTGACAAACAAAACAAATTCTCCACCAGCTATGTGATAGAGACCAACAGGATCACTGACAAAAGATCTCTGCAACTCCCCAGATTTCACAATTGCGGCAAAAGAGCACACAAAAATTCTATTCACGTAACAAGCCTAAACAAGTGAGGACCATCAGAAAATGACCAAGTTTCAAAACAAGGTCTTCAAGACATAACGAGCAAGATTACTTTCACAACTTCACACAGAGTATGAAGGCAAGAAACAAGAACAATCAGATTGCCATCTCATCAAAATGGATGAGAAAATTTGGGCAACATCAATCAGAATTGTCCCTTATATAACCCCATCACTCGTCTCACCACGGGTCTAAAATCCACTGGCTAGCCAAGTCCAAAACAAATCCTAGGTATTCAATTAAACCTAGGTATTTAATTAAATCTAAAATCTGATACCACTCAATTTGCTCTGATGCCACTCAATCTGGAGGTGCTTAACTTAATTCTAAGCTCTTAATTTAAACTTAAGCTCTTAATTTCAACTTGAGCTCTTATACCACTCAATCTCCAGATATCTAATTTAACCTAAGCTCTGATACCACTAAATCTTAATCAAACCCAAGCTCTGATACCACTAAATCTTAATCAAACCCAAGCTCTGATACCACTAAATCTGTCACGCCCCAAAACCCAATTTCGAGACGCGACAGACGCCGTACACTTGTGAGACGGGTCCCACAAGTGCACAAGGCTCGGAACTTATCATATCACACTCTAATACCACCAAAATCTGAAGATCAAATTATAAAATTCTCTCTGATATCATAAAATCTCCAAATACAAGATCATGATCTATATCTCAAATCTATATTCACTTTACAAAATGGCTAGCCTTCTAACTCGTCACTTCCCGTGGTTTCCCCGTCCTCAGTTTCACTTCCTGAAATGGTGGACAAGGAAAACTATGAGATAAACTCAGTAAGTAAATATGGAGTGCCCCTTATTTAAACATATAGCATGCCAACAAGTACAATCACGAAAACAGATACAGTACGGGCACGAAATAGACGTCTCCTCTATAGGTCACGGCCAGCGTTTATAAACCTCCCACTGGCGGGCACACGAGTACTAGTGTTTAATCCCCACTAGTAGGGCCACGAGCGAACCGGTTCTATCAATAACATGTCGACATGTGCTAGCGTTTATAAACCTCCCACTAGCGGGCACACGAATACATGACCATGTCGGAGACAAAACAGGCAGAAGTTAACAGAAAAACCACACTTCACAATCACTTTCAAGTCACTTTCAGATCATCAGGACAATCACTTAAATTTCAAGTAGGCATGCTCAATTTCATGAAAAACATAAACATTTCACTTCAAATCAGTCATACTTGTGTAAAACGGGTTTAGTCCCGCCACCACTTCAAAAACAAATCAAAACATGCTTTTAAAACAGTACGGGCATTACCATAAATTTACTTACCTCACTCGCATAAAACCGAGCACTCAATTCACGCACTAACTGACAGAACGATCGGGAACCTAATCAAAACACCTCAGAATTAATACCGGACTATCACAAATTCAAGCTGAAATCATCATTAGGATCATTCCTAATCACAATGCTATTTCCATAAATCTCCACATTATCAAATATCTCCAAATCATTCTCATATCACAAACTAATCATTTAAATTCCCATTAAATGTTGGCCCTCGGGGTGTGAACAGTGTCGATGAACAGTACCAGTGAACAGTACCCCGACGTGAACAGTACCCCGACTTCCACAAATTAGCCAAAACACTAGCTAATCTCACGGGATTTTCTCTCCAAAAATCACAGCAACTAATCAAGCTAATTTACACTTAAACCAAGCTTAAAACATGCTCAAAGGCTACCGAAATTTCCCCCATTTTTCTACCAAAATTCGGACATCACACGGCAGCAAACAAAATGGACAATTTAAGCCTTAAAAGGCTGTCACATACCAGAATTTTCCAGCAAGAAGCGGACCTAGCATGGGGAAGAAGCCGACGGCAAGTGCAGGGGAAGCTCACGGGTTTACCCAAAAATTGGAGGAACAAGAGCAATTAAGATAAACCCAAGCTAAATCAAGCTAAAGAAAGGAGAATTCGAGCTATTTCTTACCAAAAACCAAGCCAATTCGCCCCCACAAGGCAAGAGCAGCCGGCGGTGAAGAAGCAGAGCAAGGCAGATCCGGCTTTTCCAGCAGGGGAGGGAAGATTTCTAGGTTCTAGGTGTGTTCTAGAGCAAGAAGGAAGGAGAAATCTCCAAGCTTTCTCACTAGTTTCTCAAAGGCTGGCTGGGTTCCCTTTCTTTTTTTTTCCTCTCGGGTTGCAGCGAGAAGACAAGAGCAGAAACGGGCTGGAGAAGAAAGAGGAAAAGGGAGAAAAGAAATAAGCCATCCTTATCCAAATTCTCTTCTTTTAAGTCCCTCAAGTTTGGGAATGTTGGCTATTAGGCCCAAAACAATATTTTCTCACAATTTAATCCTTAACTTACACTTAAATATTCCCGAAAATTTGGGATATTACAGTCTCTATCACGCATTCAGTCCTCTTCCATTGCAGCTGTAGGTGCAGGTTCATGTTCCCTGTACTTTGCCCTTTGTTCCCGATGCAACTCATTCA